TCTATTGTTTACTTCCACCAGCATGGTGGCATGAGATAACGTACGAACCAACTACTTCGAATTTACCGCCACAAATAAAGACAGTTTCCATTGGAGAAAGGAAATACAAATCTCAAATATTCTTGTATTGTGATGAAGACATAAAACAACTTTGAGGAATGCGCCCGCTGTTCATTGCTTTGGAGTAGCTGTAGCTCAAGCTGACTTGACTCTAAGAGTTCTACATCACACGACGGTTGATTTACAAATGGTTCAGTGGGACCTAAGGCTCCTTTTTATAGCGCGCCTTCGTGTTTAACACCAAATTGTGGCGCAAACAGCACTATGCCATGGAAGATTCTAAAATAAAAACAATTTCCTCTTCCATTAGAAGTAACTATACAAATAGTTACTATAGCTATATATTTATCGAAAGTTACTGTGGTACGTGAAGTTCTCGTTTCCTGAGCGCCCAGACTCCAACATATATGATTTTCCTTTATTCACGAACCTAGACTCCAACATAATTGAGCATTTCAAGAAAATGATCCATTTGTATCTCGCTTTTCTAGAGTCGTGTTTCAAAATAAGGTTTTAACTCGCGGCTGAATGCAGAGCCAGAATTTGTACCTGAATCTCAACACTGCTTTCATCTTTGAACATTTACAGCCATTTGCACTACATTTCGCGTTCTCTTCATTCACGGCCTTTGAGTTCACTGCATCGGTTATATGTCGAATTCTCTACAAACGTTTAACTTTACTGAATGCCTGTTTGCATCACCGATGAAATCTGATGATTTTATCCTCCGACTAAATATTGATTTAACTTTTACTGTCTGAAAGCTAGCGATCTCTCATTAGAGTTCTTTTCAGGTGTCTGTCGTTTTTTGTTGAATTGAGCCAAAAGTCACAGGTAACGCCTGATCGATTATGTAACAATTGATAGTTTGGACGTTAAAAGAGACCTTTGATCCAGCTTTTAAAACTATTCAGAGCTGGTGTTAGGAAGAAAATCCGTTTATATCTCACAATGAAAATAAACAAGGAGATTATTAATATCGTCTTTCCAGGATGGCTTCCCTTCATGAACATTTATCAAAACAAAAAATCATTTTTTTCATTTCTAATATTATGCCGCTGCAAATTGCCCACTGTTTCAGCTTGCGCATAGCGGAGCGAGGCTACGGTTTAGGAAAAACAATTGGAGTCTGGCCAAGTTAACTTCGACTTCAAAAGCCTGATTTAACACGCACAGGCAAGCAGAGACAACTTTTTATTCTAACACGAGAGAAATGGCAAAGACGATGGAAAAATCGCTCTTCTCTTTCAAAGTTGGCTGTGTCTTTTTGCTTTTAACAACATATGGTAGTTCTGACGAACTTTTTGGTTCTCTACGATTTACCCGAAATGCGCTCTTTGGGTTTTCCCGAAGTGCTCCAAATCCTACAACCAAGCCACTGGCAGCTGTTTTCAGTCTCGCTCGTTCTTTTGAAAGCGACTCTCCCACCAAACGGCCTCAACAACGAACAATTTACAAGCCATCGAACAAGTTCCTCAAAGTCATCAATGAAATAGAGAAGGCTGTAGCAAACGCTGGTGCGATGGGAAGACATTTGCGATACAGTGAGCGAATTCTTTTTAAGTTATCACGGCTTTTGGAAGATTCCGTCAAGAGCAAGAACTTTGCTTATGGTAGAGAGGTACTGGGGAGAGTTTTACATTTACTCAGAAATTCTGCCAGACGGAAAAAAAGATCTCCTGAGAATGAAGGAAATCTCTTTCTTCAGAGACTTCGCCAGGGTCTTTGAAACGACTTATTTGATAGCTTCATGGCGGTACATGGAGATGTGTCTCTAACTTTTGTTGTCGATGATACCGGAAGTATGGTAGATACAATAGAAGCCGTCCAAAAAATTGCCACAGCTGTCATCAATTATCCGCGTGATGTACCCGTGGATTATATCCTATCACCTTTCAATGACCCTATGACAAGTATGCAGTTTTAAAATCTTCTTAAGAGGGCGATGAAATGCTGTTAGAAGTATGCAGTAACAAACGCACGCGCACACGATCTTTGTTTATATGCACATTCGCAGTTTTGAACTTTTCACCCAAGTAGAAATTGTTTTAAATAAGAAAGTATTTAAAGCAACTTTAGCGAGGAGATAGGTGTGGACCCTACAGTGTCTCTTTTCACTTTCGTTTGTTAAGTAAACCTAAATTTTTGTTGTTGTTTTAATCATTGTTATTTAAATTGTTGTTTTTGTTTTGATTTTTGTCGTTGTTTTAATTGTTGTTGCTGTTGCTGCAGCTGCCAAGAGGGGGAGGGGAGAGAGGCGAGGGGGGACTGATTTAAACAACTTTGAAGATTCTAATAGAATTACTGGAACGAAGAATAATTCCAAGGTAGCATATTCTTTCTAGGCTCTTGGTATTGAAAAACCACATCACAACGTAAAATTTGCTGTGCTTGCATTGTGTACTCTCAGAATATTTTCCTAAATGAAATGCCATACAGTTTGGATTCAAAAAAATTCTCCTTCGACGGAATCCTTCTCGAACACTGTTAGCTATTGCGTCAAAAGACTTCTGCATCAACATTTTTAATACTAGTGTTTATTAATAATTTTCTTGTAATTGTGTTTTGTAATTTCATCATCAATGTTTTTACTCAGTGTTTTGTTTTTGTTTTTGTTTTGTTTTTTCCATGTTATCATAGACGCAGGGGAGGTGGTATTTAAGGAAAGTAACCAGTCTTTAGAGTTTGTAAACGCCATAAACGCTTTGACTGTAAAAAGTGGGGGAGACTGCCCGGAATATACTTTTGCAGGCATTGTAAATGCCCTTGGGCAAGACCCTCACCTTGACTCTCCAATGTACGTTTTTACCGACGCTGGTCCTAAAGACGCTACGGAGGAAAATATAGAAGAAGTGAAGATTCTGGCCGAAATGAATGAAATCACAATACATTTTCTGCTCACAGGTATTCCGAACGAGCTATTAGAGAGTTTTAGATCTACGTTTGTTTCTGAATACGTGTAATCGCAAAGCGCTAGGAGTGGCAACACTCTAGCGGTTACGTTACGTTTGCCGTTTGCGGTCCACGTTTGAACTTCAGGCAAGGCAGTTTCAGATGGGTCATCTCCCTTGGCTCTTTTCCTCTTCCTGTTCGAACTTCTCACGTATTTCCTGTAAAAATATGTGAGATGAAACGTTTTTTTTTTTTTTTTAATAAATCCATTTGGGACTAGAAAACCAAACATTTCGCCACATTTTGTGTTAGAAAAGAAGGACCTCCATCCTTTGTATAATTCAAGATGGCAGCGCACACGTTGATTCAGTCTTCGTGGGAAAGGCGACGTCGATCTAAAAGCTGAAAAATCTCAAAACTTCTAACTTCTAACCTCAAACCGCTAACCGCGGTTTGACTTTTACGGTTAAAACATCAAAGGTGGATCTAAAACTCTCTAAACTCCCTTGGTTAATTATGGGGAGTGCAACATCGGGGCTGGCTGAGCGGGAGATAGGACGCTTGTAACCGAGAGCAGACACTTTTTTTTTTTATTAAGTCAATGACATGTAAACCAGCTGATAGTTCGAGAGTGCGGGAGAAATTAGATGATTTTAAACACCATTTTAGCTTAACTACTTCGTTGTGATTTGACGCAATACTTGTAATTAGCACTGAGAGCTCTTGAGCTCCCTTTCATGCTGTGGATAAACAAGATATCTTTGTGTTCCCCTAAAACCTCAGTTTCTAAATCAATAGATGATACGTATGATGCACGATCCTCGCAGTAGAGACCAATATATGATGTCATACATCGTCTTCAATGACATAGCTTGTGATAATTCTTCCATCAGGTGCTTGTGGGGGTAAGATTCATCCAGCTTTCCGCAAACTTGCCGAGTTCACTTCGGGACAGGTCGTGCTGTTGAAAAGCGCAAAAGAACTAGAAAAACTTGAAAACGTGACAAGAGGTGCCTTAGACGGTACCACTATCATCAGCTTCAGATCCAGCAAGACAGGCAGGAAAGAGAGGACTTCTGGTGGGCTGTATCGGTATAGGTTCCCCGTGGATGATTCCATCGAGACTGTGACGGTATCAGTTGTAACAAATCAGCCGGACACAAACGGTTAGTGAGTTTGTAAAATAATGGTGATTCCTCCTGCCTTCATACCCCTCCCCCCCCCGTCATCTTCTATTTTCATTTCAGATATTTATTTATTTATTTATTTTTTATTTATTATAGAGCACTATTTACAATGACAGATCAACAGCGCTTTACACTCAGTGTAGAAACCCCCCCATCCCACCCCAGGGGAGGACATCCATCACACAGTAATCTCGTGTGTGGGAAATTAACGTCTCCTACCCCTAACCCTGCAGGAGACGGGACCTCCATTTATTCGTCCCTATCCGACAGGACTAGAATATCTAACCATTTCTTGATGTTATAGAAAGGTAGCAAATTCTTCTCAATTATTTTAAGACTCTGAGTGTTGGTCCAGTCGGGGCTTGAACCCTCGACGTCCCGCACAACAGTCCGGCGCACTATCCATTGGGCTAACTGTGCAGCTGAAGCCTCTGCCGCAGCTTGTTAATGGCCTCTTATTGCCAAAAGTTGTCAAATGAAAACTGTATCAAGTGAAAAACGATGATAAAAAATAACAGAAGAAAAAAAATCAAGAACAGAAGAAAACATAACAAGAAACTTCTGAGAGAAGAGTAAGAAGAGAAAATTCGCCGGCTTTACAGGGGCGTAGCTAAGATTTTTCAAGGGGGGGGGGTTACAGAGGCTACTCACCAGATTGTCATGTCGACCTCCACGCCGCGCATGTTTTACTTAATGTTACAGTTTTGGGATGAGCAGTGATAGTATAGAAGGCAGGCCAAGATATTGTCATGGCGTTTACACCACTTGAATATTGTACGTTGTTTGCTCAAGAGAAGGCCTAGCAAGGGGGGGGGGCACGGGCACCCCAGGACCCTCCCTGGCTACGCCCTTGCTTTAGAGGAACCGTCAGAACGCATAAATTCAGGATCGTAAGGAAAAAAAAATTCCACCACTAGGAATTTCATTCTTCCTAATCTGTTCATTAGTTTCTTCGTTATTACTTTATATATTTTTTTTTATCATTTATTAATCTTATTTGTAAACATCTCCAGGCCACGGCGTTACCTTGAGAAATCCCTTTGGGACCATCATTACAGCAGAGAAGGTTAGCCTTTCTCAGCTTTGCTTCTACCAAATCACAAGTCCCCCCAAAGGTTATTGGACTTTAGAGATATCAACAACTGGCAAGACTGTAGATCACGAATTTTACGTCAAATCAACCAGCGAGACAAACATCGACTTTAAGCACTATTTCATGGTTCCAGTGGGACGTCGTCGAAGGAAAACAGAAGTGCCTTTTTCGAACCCAATCGCAAGTTAGTATTATAGTTCACTAAATGTGATGCTTGCATAGATATACACCTTACACTCTCTGGTCTGAAACCCGGAACAGTTATGAGGTAAAGAACGGTCTGTTTTTTTTCTTTTTTCCCGGGGGTTAGTATAGCTCACCATTATGTTAGATTTTTAAAACATCTATTACGATCCTTAGGAAAGTTAAACAAGATGGTGCTGACATTACTGGCTCCAAACGATAAAGTCGACCCCACCTCCCTCCGGCTACAGATTGTCACCACATCTGGTTCCGTTGTTCGCAATTTGAACTTTGTGTCGAATGATAGCGTTCACTTTGAAGTGAATTTTATCCCACCAACCACGTCCTTTAAACTGAAACTCCTCGGTACTACTCGGGAAGGAAGTGCATTTGAAAGACTGTCTCATTGTTCCATCCAACAAAGTACAGCATTTCTTAGAGGACGATACGCAAGTAATGATTTCACCCTGCCGTTGAACAGCCTTACTATAATCCAGTTTGAAGTCTGCAACTTTGGCCCCAGTGAACGTTTTGAAGTCGTGGTTCGGAAGGACAGGATGAATTACGTTTTGCAGCGTAGTGCTGGCTCCCAGCGGCCAACACTGGTCGGCAGAGACCGTTGCGTGGCTTTGTTCCTTCGAGCCAGGGCCACGCGCGTCGCAGATGTGCACAAAACCAACACAGTGATTTTGATTGTGAAAGGGCAGACCTCTGGTATTGTCCTGTCACGTTTAATGAGGCTTTTTGTCGTCAATCCAAAGAGGCCGTGATGAGAGGGATGTCTCCGTCCACCATTAGATACTTTGATTATCTAATTAGGAATTGATCGAGAAATACGTTGCGCTAAATCTAGTTTATAACCTTACCTCCTTATCAATAGTTCTCCGATCTGTTCTCTATCGACCCTACGTAGATGCCAGAATGACAATCTAGACATAAACGGCTTTTTGTCAAAGGAAGACAAGGTTGGTAGTTTTTGTGTAAAAATAGCTACGTAATTGATCATAACTAAGAAAAGATAAGAAATAAAGGAAAGAAAAAGTTAAAAAAACAGACAGTTTTCTTCAACAACTGTGTAAACTCGAGGTCTCCTCATATGAGCCACATCAATCGATCAACCAGGCTACATTGCTGGCACCGCTCTTTTCTTTTGTCCAAATCACAAAGTCCTCTTGAGTAGGCGACAGGCGAGCTCTGTCATTGAGAAGATATCGGGACTTTAAGCAAACCATGACGGCTACGGCAACCAGAACGTGGAAAAACAATAGATCTAATTGGCAGAACAATAGCCCAGCACGTGCGTTTTAAAACTTTGTACATTTCTTAGCCGTCCTTTGCAAAACAACAACGTGAAATCACCAAAATTTTCGTCGTCTGCGAAGCGAAACCGCGGCGGCTAATTATTTCAATTTACAATTGGAATTCAAAGCTACTTTTATGCGTTATGTTGAGTTTGAGGTCTGGCGCCCTCAAACTCGACATGCAGCATAAACACATGCAGCCATTTTCGAAATTCTAACTAAAAGTAGAAACTCATTTTTTAATGGAAGTCTTCCGTGGCGTTGCCGTCCTGACTGCTTAAAGTCCCTCTTGGCGACTGGGAAGGTCAACTTTTCCGTACAAACCCGGATAAAGAGACAAACTGAAAAGTTGTGCCTCTTCAATCTCTGCAACTATTTGAATAGTGATAGGGCTTCAATGTCAGCTGCAATTGCCCGATCGGAAGTCACAGCTATGATAAACTTTTGGGCAGTACTGTAAGGTAAAACGGGGGAGGGAGGGAAAGGGGAATTTGGCGAGGATCACATGGTTCTCAGGTTGATCGGAGGGGGATCGGTAATCGGGACTAATCGCTTACAGAGTATAAATGGGGAGGACTATGAAAACTGACCGCCGATGAGGGGGGAGGGGTGGGGGGAGGTCATATGACTGATTACAGAGCCTCATAGGGCAATCAGATAACTTTTGTGGTAACACAACAGAACCTTAATCCTCCAACTCCAATCCGACCCTACCCCACCCAGGGAATAGATAATCGCAAGTCCCTCCTTTACTAATAACTTTTTTTCGCGTGTTGTACCAAGGTACCACTAAACTGTTGCTGTTCCAAGTTTTAAAGTTTTCATTTATCGGCAAATTAGTTGTTAAACCTGACTGAATTATGTAAATCTGCGAAACAATATTTTCTCGATCGGTAGGTCTTTACATAAACGTTTTTTGATCTCTTCTTTTTTCATTTCTCCTCGTTCTACTTTGGTTTTGCACTTTTTCGCTCCATCCACTGACGCCTTTCACCGAATTGCGATGTAAAACAGGACTCAAACATGATAAAAATTCTCCGTTTTAATAAAACTAATATAAAAATACACTTAGTGAGATAAAATCTATCTCATTCTTCGTTTATGCAAAATAATAATAATAATATTATTAATAATAATATAATAATAATAATTAATGTAATGAATTAGATAACAAAGTAAAATATTTTTTCTAGACACCAGAGCCTTTTCGAAGCTAGTCATTATTTAAAAGAAAAATGAAATTGAGAAACAGAAAATTTTATGAACAAGAATAGACAAACAGGAAAGGAATGAATCAACGCCCTGACTGTGCAGTTCACGTCTGGTTTCACATGAAGGAGAGCTGGTTCGTCTAACCACCGTAACACTGTCTGCCTCTTTTACAGAGAAACAATTTTCCCAGTCCAGCCTTCGTTGACTCCCATTATTTCTTACATCAATTTTTTTTTATTTTAGTCTTTTATATTAGTTTTCTTTTAAATTTATATCAGTTTTCTTTTATCGTTATATTACCATGACACACCACTGTTCTCTATGATCCTTCAAAAACTCAAAACCCAAATTTTATACTCAAACTTCATAAACGTCAACTTTTTCCTTGCAAACCATCGTCAAGGCCAGTCGCGTATCTTTTAGCGTACGCCCACTGGCCTCACCAGCTTATGGACAAAATTTAACCTTTTATCTAGAAAAAAATATGTTATGGACAGATTTCCCTCACAAACCATCAATAAGGCCAGTCACTTATCATTTAGCGTACGCTCACTGGCCTCGCTACCACATCCAATACCTCATTCATTTTATGTGCAGCCATGAACTAAATGAAGAATTTTTCCAAAAAAAAAAAAAAAATGAAACACCATCGCTTGCCTTTCAAACCATCAGCTATGGCCAGTCGCGTATCATTTAGCGTACGCCTACTAGCCTCGCCACCACATCCAATACCTCATTCATTTTATGAGCAGTCAAGAACTAAACGAACATTTTTTAACCAAAAAAAAAAAACAAAAAAAAACAAATGAAAGTTAAACACCATTCCCTGTCTAACAAACCATCAGCTATGACCAGCCGCGTATCATTTAGCTTACACCAACTGGCCTCACAAACACATTCAATACCTCATTCATTTTATGTGCAGCCAATAACTGAATGAACATTTTTTACAAAAGAAAAAACAAAAAGAAACCGCATTCCTTTCCTTGCAAACCATCAGCTATGGCCAGTCGCGCATCATTTAGCGTACGCCTACTGGCCTCGCCACCACATCCAATACCTCATTCATTTTATGAGCGGCCAAGAACTAAACGAACATTAAAAAAAAAAAAAAAAAAATTAAACACCATTCCCTTTCTAACAAACTATCAGTTATGGCCAGCCGCGTATCATTTAGTGTACACCCGCTGGCCTCACCACCACATCCAATACCTCATTCATTTTATGAGCGGCCAAGCACTAAACGAACATTTTTTACAAAATAAGAACAAAAAAAAAAAATTAAACACCATTGCCTTTCTCACAAACCATCAGCCATGGCCAGTCGCGTATCATTTAGCGTACGCCCGCTGGCCTCACTACCACATCCAATACCTCATTCATTTTATGAGTGGCCAAGCACTAAACGAACATTTTTTACAAAATAAGAAAAAAATAAATTAAACACCATTCCCTTTCTTACAAACCATCAGCTATGGCTAGTCGCGTATCATTTAGCGTACGCCCGCTGGCCTCACTGACACACTCATCACCTCATTCATTTTATGTGCAGCCAAGAACTAAATGAACACTTTTTACCAAAAAAGAAAAAAAAAAAAAATGAAACACCATTCCTTTCCTTACAAACCATCAGCTATGACCAGTAGCGTATCATTTAGCGTACGCCCACTGGCCACAATAACACTTTTTTACACACAAAAAAAGGAAACACCATTCCTTTTCTCACAAATCATCAACTATGGCCAGTCGCGTATCATTTAGCGTACGCCCACTGGTCTCACTAACACATTTAATACTTCACTTATTTTATGTGTAGCCAAGAACTAAATGAAAATTAAAAAAATTAAACATCATCCTCTCCTTGGAAACCATCAGCTATGGCCAGTCGCGTATCATTTAGCGTACGCCCACTGGCCTCACCAACTTATCCAATACTTCATTTATTTGACGAGAACCAAAATAAATCAACTACTTTTATCCCTTTCCTTACAAACCATCAGCAATGGCCAGTCGCGTATCCTTTTGCACGCAAAACTTTCAGCAGCCTCACCAGAATTCAAATTCTTTTTTGTTTCACTACAAGAATAAAATCAAATATTTACACAACTTTTTTCAACATAATTAAACATGGAAACCTCTCAAGCCATCAACAACAGCCAGTCGCGCATCCTTTTGCTAACGCAACTTTTATTGGCCTTACTCACAATTCCAAAAAATTATTTTTCCCTTCAAGAACAAAATCAAAACTGTAACCACTAGTTTTTATGAACACAATTTATCATCAAAACCTCTCCATTACAAACCATCAACAACAGCCAGTCGCGCTTCCATTTTGCTAACGCAACTTTTATTGGCCTTATCAACAATTCCATTATAGTTTTTTTGTTTCACTTCAAGAACAAAATCAAATCTTTAACCACAATTTAAATGAACATACTTTAACATCAAAACCTCTCCATTGCAAACCATCAACAACAGCCAGTCGTGTATCCTTTTTGCTGACGCAACTTTCATTGGCCTTACCCACAATTCCAATATCATTTTTTTTTTTCACTTCAAGAACAAAATCAAAATTGTAACAACCAGTTTTTATGAACACAATTTATCATCGAAACCTCTCCATCACAAACCATCAACAACAGCCAGTCGCGTATCCTTTTTGTTAACGCAACTTTTGTTAACCTTACCCACAATTCCAATATATTTTGTTTCGCTTCAAGAAAAAAATCAAATTTTTAACCACAATTTTATCAACATAATTAAACATCGAAACCTGTCCATTACAGACTATCAACAGCCAGCCGCGCATCCCTTTTGCTAACGCAACTTTTATTGGCCTTACCCCCAATTCCAAAAAGATTATTTTTCACTTCAAGAACAAAATTAAAAGTGTAACCACAATTTTTATGAACACAATCTATCATCGAAACTCTCCATTACCAACCATCAACAACAGCCAGTCGCGCATCCTTTTTGCTCACGCAACTTTCCTTCGCCATACCAACAACTCCAATGTTCCAACAATTCCAATGTTATTTTTTTCGCTTCAAGAGCAAAATCAAAACTTTAACCGAAATTTTAACGAACACATTCTATCATTGAAACCTTTCCGTTACAAGCCATTAACAAAAGCCAGTCGCGTATCCTTTTGCTCACGCAATCTTTAGTGGCCTTACCAACAATTCCAAAATCTCGTTTTATGAACAAAACCAAAATCTTAATCAACAACAAAATGTACAAAAATTATGACAACAAATTTTCTTTTCTCAAGTGCATACCATCACCATCACCATACGTTCTCTTGCTCTGTCTGCCAAACATAGAGTCGTACCAAATAAATCGTTCATCAAACTCCTCTAGACGTCCATTTAAAGTGAAACAAACCGCTCTTTTAAAATCTCTGAGAGGATGCAACAAGTTGTTGACTGGTGTGAACACGACAACCACAATGGCTTGCCTCCAAACCTGCTGTTACGAGAGGATAGGACAAAATGAGGAAAGAACACACAGCTATGTAAAGTTGGGAAGAAGGATTTAGACAGAGATTCAATGAAGATTTCACATCTTTTTCTGATTCTTTCTACTCAGGTCTCTGGTGTCCATTTTTTTTTTTTTTTTTTAAATTTTGAGTATATTACTTAACAAATAACTAAATAAAATATATTTGAAATAAATTCTTCCCCCCTCCCCCCTCCCCTTTCCTCGAAGTGCTTTGAGTTGGTCAGCGGAATAACGATCTAATGGCGTCTACAGGACGCCGAAAGAATCGCTTCACTGCTCTGTAGCTTGCGATGCAACCGCTGGACAGTTCATGGCGGAGCGAAGTATTCTGTTAAAAAAAAAAGAAATAAAAGATTGTTCTAGTTTGGCATCCGGTCTGAGTGCCAACATTCATTTTCCTGACATATACCACATTCTCTTTACAAGCATCTATGGATACATAGTGGAAATTCATGGAAGGGATTGAATTATTTAACATTACTTCAGATTACCACAAAGTCATGAAATAAATTGAGAAATTTCTTACCAGCTGATAAAGAATTCCGATGTCCCTAAAAGTAGAAAAAAGGCTCCTATTAGAAAGGATTTTATCTTAAAAAGGAGATTTTCAGTTTTTTAAAACATTTTATGTTCCAAATGTTTCGGATCATTTGCTCCCCTGATCTACATAATCAATAAGCAAAGCAAAAAAGATACAAAAACAAAACAAAACAACAAAACAACTAAAACACCAGGGATTAGGTACCCTCGCTAATATTATTTCCTTTCTGTCACTTTCTCTGAGTATTGTATTAAGAACAGCAAACATTTACTCACATTTTCATGTTGGCTTTTGTTTCGTTGTCGGCCTGGTCATAAAAGAGGTTAAAAAGTTAAAACTATGATTACCAGTAGTTCCATTTCTGTATAATGTATCTTAATCTGCATCGTAAGAAGTTAAACGAATCTAGCTGTTTGGTCAATTTTCCCCTCCCATTATTTTTTTATTTGATAGTGAAAAATAAGAACAAAAGGACTGGGAAAGAGGCTGACTCTAAGTGGTGCCAGATTCTTTTACCTCAGGTTTTTGTCCGCGCGCAAAGCATTACTCGACCTTCTGATTCGTCTTGGGAGGCCTTAGAAACGAGGCTGGCTTAAGGAAATTCTCGAGTTGATTGATCAATATGTACCTCGTTTATCTCGCTTCTTCTTTTGCATTCGGCTTTCAAGCTTTCAAGGTGGGGAGCAAGTGTCTGCATTTCTGCGTCATGTTGTTCCTGAGTCTTTTCTAACCTGGAAAAAATAAGATATATGACGGCCGTGTCATTATCATATTTTCCAAAGCCAAAACTGGCTAATTGATGACATCATCTGAAACATTACCTACAGTTACTACTGTAGGATCTCTTTGGAGGGGGGCCTCCTTCGAGGATATTTAAGTGTCGCATGAAAGAAGTGATACCTCAATGATGGTAACTGATAGAAACATCAGAAGAAGGAACTGACGTTTTCGTTTCCTTAGTGGAAGTGTCCCACTGACGCTCCGTGTCGCTCTGACGACGGGCTAATGCTCGAAACGTCAGCTTTGAAACTCTTTACGGTGCCCAAATAACATGATCAACTCAGCTAATAAAACTAAACTTACCTGAAAAGACATGTCCCTACTGTTCTCACGATCTCCCCCCCCCTCCATCATTGCTAGCTAATTGGCAGTCAATTTTCTATAGTTTCGCCCTTTGTTGATAACGAATGATACCCCTTGCGTTTCCCTGAAAACCACAATCCCCCTTAAAAACCATCCGCCTCCGCTCCCCCCTCCCCCCCCAAAGGAAAATTTGTATTCTAAGCATTTACAGCTATCACAAAGCAACCCTAGAGTCTCTTTGGTGAACCATAAGCCATGACCCACGCTTGTGACTTAAAAAAAACGTTTTTGACTGATATTTACACTTACTCGTTCTTAATCTCTGATATGGCCCTTTTGTAATCGTTGATCTGCAATTTACAAAGGAAACAATGTTTAATTCATTAAAAAAATCACAAATTATAAAGCTGAAAATTTTGGAATAGCTTTCCGCGTGTTTAACAGAATTAATCCATGACTTAGTTCAAATCAATTACAAACGAACGTGAGTCTGGAAATAACTTTAAGTCTTAGTGGCGTTGCTGAGGAAATGGCTGAGATATGATTCATCAATAACCTCCCATATCAAAATGTTTATCAAAAAAATGTCTATAAACATGTCTTAAGATTGAGAGATGTTTATCATTCTGTCACGATTCT